ATACTGACCTACACACATAAACTACAACCATTGCAGTATTGACTTCAAGGTATATACTGACCTACACACATAAACTCCAACCATTGCAGTATTGACTTCAAGGTATACTGACCTACACACATTAACTACTACAACTGCTGTATTAATTTTTCTCTCTAATCTGTATGGAAATACTAGAGGGCACTATTTTAGTCTTGGTGATTTGTGTCATTTCAGAGGTCGCGGGCAGCTCTCCAGCGTTACTTATTCTACTGTAATCGTTACATGAACCATATGCAAAGTCTAAGGTTTGAACATAAGCTGTATGCACAAATTAGAGCTAAAATGGACGAGATGCAGCACCATAACATGTCTTGGATTGAAGTACAATTTTTAAAGAAAGCTGTAGATGTTTTATGCCTGTGTCGCCAAACCCTTATGTATACCTACGTATTTGCTTATTATTTAAGAAAGAACAATCAATCCATAATATTTGAGGTAAGTGATGTCACTAATTTATTTGGTCCTGTCTAAAAATGCCATTATTAGTTTGTTTCAGATTGTTTGCATGCAGTTTTGTTAACACATCACCTATTATAAGCCTCAACAGATAGTGAAAACGAATGAGCAATGTGTTACATATACAATATGTCAACATTCCATTTATTGTTATATAGGCATGGCTAATTTCATTAATAATTGATATAAATCATACATGTTGGACTACTGATGCTTTATTTTGTTTTCATGATTAAATTGAGAATGGTTAATTAGTCCCTGTTCGGACACAGTCCGAAAGCGGGGACTTGTGTTTTGACCTCCGTGCGTCCGTGTTTCTATGTGTCTGTACGTGCGTGCGTCCAGACCTGTATCTTAGAAATGCCTGGACAAATCACAATCAAACTTCACACATACATCATGCAATTTGTTTTACGATCTGATTCAAGATGGCCGAATGGTGGCCATTTTTGTGCTAAAAAATCACCAAATATCAAGCATTTCTGGCATTTCTGGCATTTATGGATGGATTTCGTTCAAACTTGTAACATACATTAAACATAACAGGTTCCTGATGCACGTCATTTTATTCGGATTCAAAATGGCTGACTGGTGGCCATTTTGTTTTAATGAATGGGCTTCTAGAGCCATATCTCTGACATGCTTTGACTGATTATGTTCAAATTTTATATATTCATTATACATGTATTCAAAATGGCTGATTTTGTTTTAATTAATGCTGTTCCAGAGCAATATCTCTCAATACTCGTTTGACGATCAGATACAAATGTCAATCATTTTAATGTTGAACAATCATCATAATCATATTCCTGACATGTTTATGTTCCAGCTATATATTACTATAAACAAAACTATATATTATAAATTTGATAACTAATGGGGACTGTGCCATGCATGGCTTGTTTTAGCTTGCCTGTGATGTTAATGAAAGGATATGCAGTGAAAAATATCTAGTTGTTAACTCTGTTTCTTGTGGTTACAATAACTTATAACAATTCTTATCCAATCATCTATAAACTTGATAATCATATTATTCAGTATGAAATGCTGCCCAAGTTCAATTACGATATGATTCACTTGTTTATTTTTAAAGATATTCTAAAAAATTCTAAAAAACTTAAAATTGTCTTGTGGTTACAATAAGTAAAACAATTTTTATCACATCATTTTATGTAAATATTTTCAATCAGTATCAACCAATTTTGGTGGACAAGCATGTCTGATTTTCAAGATTTTGGTGAAAATTTGTCTACAATAAAATATTTGTTAAGACATAGAAATAAATGCAGAAATGGAGACATTTGCACTGATGCTCATGAGAACAAGATTTCAGTAATATACTCTCCTACTAATATCTGTTGCTTAGATAATGTAGTATCTGGATTCAAGATGGCCAAACATCATTTTCATGCTTAGAAAAGCTTTATGAATGTCACAGGCAGAATAAAGAAATGAATCACACATATAAACTGGTTCCATTCATGTATATCACTTGAATGTAAACAATTATTTGTCACTCATGTTAAGAGTAAACTTGACTGGGACTTGTCATTGACAATGACTTGTTTATAATTTATATTCTTTCAGTCAGATAATCACCAGTATAATGAACAGAGTCTAGATAGTTATCCATCCTGGCTTTTCATTCGTTATTTAATATCTAGATTCTCAATGGGCAAGGTTGTAATAGTAATATTTTTTATTTTTTTTAGTGTCTTTAATCATTTCTCAGACATCCCTTCAACAGTTTTGTTGAAAACAGGAACTTATGGATTGACTTATATGCATGTGTCTGTGTGTCTATATGGTCGAGCTTCCGTCCGGACCTTTATCTTAGACATGATTATGTTCAAATTTGATATACAGATGTATTGGTTTACGATCAGATTCAAAATGACCAAGTAGAGGTCATTTTTGTTTTAGAATATCATACAAATCAAGCATTTCTGGCATTTCGAAACCAGATCTTGGTTGTTTATGGATGGATTTTGTTCAAACTTGGCACACACATTAGTCATTATTGGTTCTTGTTGCACATCATTTTTAGTTCTCATTCGAACACAGTCCGAAAACTGGATATATGGATTGACCTCTGTTTGTGTGTCCGGACCTGTATCTTGACATGCCTGGACTGATTACATTCAAACTTCATACATACATCATACATAATATTATACATACATATACATATCAATTTGTTTAACATTCTAATTCAAGATGGCCGAATGGCAGTCATTTTTGTGCTGGAAAATCATCAAAGTCAAGCATTTCCAGATGGATTTTGTTGAAACTTGGTGCATACATTCAACATTATGGGACCTTGATGCACATCATTTTATTTACCATATTATTGATGCCTTTATAGGATAACCAGAAAGACCTTGAACATGCTACAGAAAAGTTGTCAGAGTATTTAGAAAGAGATATTACTCAAGATTCTTTAGTAGACATTAAACAAAAGGTGCAAGATAAATATAGGTGAGTTCTCGTTCACTACAAGTATGTTGGCATATCATGCAAATCGTGACTGTTATCTTTTACGCTGTATTGTCACTAATACTACAATGAAAGTCTATGATGTAATAAAAGCAATTGTTTCTTGCAAATAGCTTTACCAAGCATTTCTGTTGATTATGTTTTCAGAATCTGAGGGGGTCATCACCAATTCATCCTCTGGTTTTTTCCTTTTGATGCTCTGAAAAAAGACTATTTCTGAAGTCAAATTTTTAATGTTAATGTTGAAAGCATTTCTCATTATTGATTCAAACGTTCTTAATCAGTGACAGTTCTTAATCAGTGACAGTTCTTAATCAGTGACAGTTCTTAATCAGTGACAGTTCTTAATCATATCATAGGATAACACAATCAACATTTCCCCATTCCACCAAACCATAAAAATTCCATCCACTCTAAAAATTCGACCACCTATTTATTTAGCAGGTTTTCATAATTTATTGGCATTTAGGATTCCAGTCGGTCACAAAATTATGCTTTTTTTTGTTCTCCAAAATTTCACTCACTTCAGATTTTCCTCCTGGCACAATGGTTTGACTCAAATTTAGGCTTCAATTTAATTTTTAAAAAAATGTTTACCTGTCAGTACCTGGTATTGCAGTATGATTTTGAAGAGGAGATTTGCACTTTTTAAAATAAAACTCGTATTCATAATCTTTTTTGGGTAATTGCAGAACTGTTGCTTTTCTGACAACAAATGAGGCAACATGTATATCGCGTCTAATGTTTTTTGTTGTCACTAATTATTTGAATGCATGTGGCACACTTTCCTGCTAAAAAAAATGTGAGGTGCAGGTTTCAATCTAACATGTTCAATCATGAGAAGCATTACCTACATGCAGGATCTATGACTATAATGAAAATAACTTATTTCTGTACTTAATCTATGTAGGTACTGTGAAAGTAGAAGAAAGGTGTTACTGGAACATGTGCACGAGGGGTATGACAAGGAACTATGGGAGTATACAGAATTGTAACTGAATTACACTGTACAGTCTTGTATAGAATTTACACATCCACTGTAAAGTTGTCATAGTAAGGGGAAGGGTTCTCTAGGAGAGGACATACTTAAAAATAAAGCTTGGTGAAAACTATTATCTGTGCTTTTACTTGCATTGTGCACTTTATAAAAATATTTAATTATGTTCTTATTGCCTTTATAAGAATTATTGTAATTTATATGGTAATGTAGGAAAATCCGCAAATGTATTATAGGAGAAAATTTGTTGTTTTTTGCTGAAAACTACTGTTATATTTTATTTAAAGTCAAACAGTTTTATACATACATACATACATACATACATACATACATACATGCATGTTGCTCTGCTTGGGAATTAAAACTTTGTTCCTGATAAGACAAATGTGATTGGCTGAGTGAATATACATGGTTAGATGTGACTGGAATAAACTTAGTGACAATCCTCTAACATTACCAGCTTCAGCTACCATATTTCTTCTATTAGTTGCACTTATTTAAGTGTCTGTGGTCAAACTGAGGTCATGTTTTAATGACCAAGCGTATGGTAATGTAATTTTTTGACCAGTCTTATGGGAGATGTGCCCTTAATAGAGCAAATATGGTATGGTATGGTAGGGGAAGGGGTGTGTTACAACTGTTCTGATTAATGCTTTTAGCCCCAGCCTTTTTGTGTCCAAGCTCGAGTTCTGCTGCTTGTGCAAATATATAAATTTTATAAAAGCCCCCCCCCTTCCACACTCAGATAATTGAAACAAGTGTCAATTAAAAATATTTGAAGTGTCTTCTGCCAACAAGTAATGAAACAGTAGCCTGTATAATATTTCTCTATATGTCAACTGCACATAGTACTTACTTCATGGCACTTTTTTTTTTTAAGAAGAAAGATAGAATTATTGTAAAACAATGTAATCCTTGCTGTGTGAAACAATGTTTGTATTTGTCAGAATTTTAAGCATGTGCTTATAAGTCTGACATGCAATGCTGATTAACCAGGTCACTGTGGTGCTACCTTTAATGTTTGTTGACTTTGGTGGTGTAATTGAATGACATTGGATTGCCTTGATATAGTTTACAATTCTCTTTAGAAACTCGTCTATAACCCATAATTAAAATATCTATTTTTAGAATATTCATCTTTATTTCCTTAAAATAGCAGCATATGCTGCCAAGTGCAAATATTTTGATGGGACGGGACGCATTAAAGGTTCTTGATGTGTACTCCAAATACACCACTTGTCACAGGGAAAGATACACCTGTATGAGCAGATTTTAGTGTGTTGTACAAAGTGTTTTCAAATTAGACTACTGCTTCTGTTCTATGCATTTTCTTGATTTATTCTGTCAAATCTATTCAAGTGTGGTTGGTACTTGAAAAGTCCACTAAGAACTTGAATTCCAGGGCAGTTCATCTAAACTACTCGTGATGATAGTGGGCAGAACTTGTTGGCACATTGAAAAGTTGTCCAAATATTTTATAGAGTAACTTGTGTTTTCATTAAAACAATTTGATTCCTTTTTTTAAAAATTACAGTATTGTTTTTAGATGTTTGGTAGCTATACCTCATCCATGCGTACTTGGTTCATTGACTTTTTCCACCTGCAGCCATTTTTTTCAGTAATAAACCCCAATCATTGAAAAAAAAATGCTTTGTGAGTTATTTTGTATACACTTTTAAAGCAAATTGCCATGAAACTGCTCCTGTGTGGCATTGATACACCCAATTCCAAGAGATGTATAGTACAATGGATCTCAAGGTTTGGTATAAAGTTTATCATTGATTAGTCCCAGTCACTGAGGGTCATCGGTACGGGACCAGCCGTTTCTGTGTATGAGCAGTGGTTTTGAAAATCATGCCATGACCCTTGTAGTACAAATTATGAAAACATTCTAATTTCTAAAACTTTTACTATGATATCAATCTGGAGATTATTTTTAAAATGTTGCTATTCTGGTTAATTATGCATGCAGCTTGCATCATTTCTCTGCCAACCAGAATACCAGCTACCTCTTGACCTCTTGCCCATGCTCAGCAATAAGGTGTCAACACCCATCATTTACTTTCAGAAAAATCCGTAAAACAAATTAAATGCTTGAATAAGGATGCTGTAGAGATTTTCAGAAGTGAAATTCACGCTAATTATTTTCATAGAAGAATGTCTTTAAATCATGTCAAACTTGTATACTTTATAAAAGCTCATAGCTGGCACTATTTAAAAAATGATACATTATAACCTTCATGTGGTCACATGACTGCTAAGTAAATAAATCCATCATTATAAATTCAAATAGATAATGTGAAAAAATTAAAAGGATAACACAATTTTTTTTTCTTGAAAAAGATAGAATAAAACAAAAAAAACAGTCGCAACAATTTTGCATAACTTTTTTTTTTACTTTTAAATGTCTATTTGTTAATTTTACTAGAATATTTTGTTTGTTTTTATATTCGGATAGTGAAATGTGTAAATTTACCGGTAACAAAAATCACTGATGCTGTATTGTTCATGTTTACCTTATTCACAAAGTCTGATTAGTGCCTACTAAATAGTACTCTTTTGATTGATCATTTTGATAAAACAAAGATGTACACTAAAAGAAGATTAATAGAGAAATAGTGGAATTCACTACGTTCAATTACCCACCATAGACTCCGGTGGGTGAAATGACTATTTTGAACTGTAGGCATTAATCAGCGGTTTTGCTAATGACTGAGAGATAAAATCTATGTTAGGGGACGCCCCATGACCCCAATATTTTTTTCCCTTGCGTCTCGAACCATGTGACTCTGTAATTCACCCTTTTCTCCGTACCGACGGGGATGAAGTCAAGCGGCTCTGCCTGGAAGGCCTGGGTTTCTGGCTTGGGTTGCTGCTGCTGGCGCTGCAGCCGACACTGGCTGGTAGGACAAGTTTTTCTTAATATTTTTACCCACGTGTCGTTTTTCCTTTTGTCTGTATAATTTTTTACGACAAAGAAAAAACCCAGCGACACAATTAAACTACGTTGGTTTTCTTTGTGTCGCCTTTTCCAACTTTATTTCGTTTCCCTCATGCATGTCGTGTTCATTTTTATTTTGTACATTATGTATTTAGAAATGGATAGATCTAATGACAGCACCAGAGACTCGCCGCCGGTTTTGTCTCCTCATTGGTTATAATCAGAATTTACCAGCATGGAACCGAAATGCTATTTTTGCCGTGTCTACGTGCCCCACCTTTAAGGCGTGTGTTTTCACTGGGGTTCTGAGGAGGAGGAGGAGGTAACGCCTAAGGCCCCCGGGTGGGGTAAATTTTAGGCAACCGCTTTCCGCTGGACCAAGCGCTACCCGGTCGGGTGGTTTCGAAATCAGACCCCAAAATGTGGGATAAGACCAAACGTCTTCAACCGGATCCCAAGGCTCCTCCCCCATACCCCAGTACCACAACTTTCTGTTTGGCAAACCGGGCAAAGAGGGACAGACGCATTCCATGGGCGTTCTCGCTAGCTAAGCCTGAGACGACCCATCACGCCCTGAGGACAGAGTTGCTGGAGCGCATTATTGTGCAAACCCAGAACTCTGAGACCTCTGAGGCAGAGCGCACCAGCCTCCTAGACCAGGCGACACATTTACTGGTGGCCACCATATAGCTACATTTTGTACATGCGACATCCTCCAGTGTCACCTGGCTCTCCTGGCCGGGGCTAACACTGTGCAACGAGATGCAGTCTTAGATGCGTGTGTTTTCACCGGCCAACTGAGTCGGGGGGTACGTCACCGCCTCAGTTACGCAGACTGGACATTTGCCACCCTCTTTAATGGGGGGGGGGTGCAGTCCTGGAGCTTTGGAGTGCAACAAACCAGATGGTTCAGGTCGAATCCGCTAGCCAGTTGGCCACTTTTAAGGGTAAACGGAGGGTGCCCCAAGGCAACGTCCGCTAGCCAGAGTCAGCCAGGAGGCAAGCGCTCATACCCTTCTGAGGGAGGGAAGAGTAGCGGCACAACCCCAGGGAAGAAGGTACCAGGTGGTGGCTCCTCATCCTCCTCGGGGTTATTAGCAAGGGGTTATTAGCCGAGCAAGTAAGGCTAACACAGGATTTACTTCACCAGTTGGGCTCTTTAGTAAATCAGACAAAGTCCCATCCCTATCCAACGCAACAGTTGGTGTTCCTGGGCATGGAGTTCGACACAGAGGTATGCTTGGTATATCTATTTCAAGCGTGTTGCTTGGCGCTAAGCAGCCTAGCCAAATGCCTAGTCAGCGTTCTCACAGTGTCCCACCGATAACTAATGTGGATCATCGGAATGATGACCTCGGTTCGAAGGGTAGTTCCCCAGGCCGCATTACGTAGCCGCCAGGTACAACAACACACATTGTTCACTGGGATTTGTCAGGTGTGTTGTCTGCTAAGCAGACCGCCTTTTGAGCCTCTCCGATCAGCACCACTCAAATTTGTTACGTGGAAAACAGTCTTTCTACTGGCCCTCGGTTTTTCTACCATCAACACTCCTTGGATGTTTCCAGGTCTCGTTTTTCGGCCTATATCCTCATGCAGAACTGTTTCGGTCTACATACAACCGCCTGAACTGGGTTTTGGGTCTAGCTTTCTCGGGAACACCAAACCCTGTTACCGTAGCAGCATTTTGGGCTTTTTGCTCCGGGGACAGCACAGGCAAGGTAAGACACCACCCTCATTCGGGGGTCTTAGCTATCTAGGTGATGAGTGGTGTAGAG